ACCTTCTCTACTCCTGCCAGTGAGATTTCAAGAGGTTCTAGCCCAGGGGTGGGCAAACTTTTTGACTCAAAGGCCACAATGGGTTCTTAAACTGGACCGGAGGGCCGGAACAAAAGCATGGATGGAGTGTTTGTGTGAACTAATATAAATTCAAAGTAAACATCATTACATAAAAGGGTACGGTCTTTTTTTTTTTTTTTAGTTTTATTCATTTCAAACGGGCGGATCCGGCCCGCGGGCTGTAGTTTGCCCATGGCTGTTCTAGCCCCTTGGTCTTTTCTGTTCCAAATTATTGAGGGTTTTAGTCATTCCTTCAGCTTTTCACCATGTCTCTATGGATGACTTCCAAAACAGCACTTTTAAGGTCTGGTCACTATCATACTAGTTAGTCCACTTTATGCTAAGAAATTTTGTATTGGATGTGTTGATATTCTCTTAAATCCAACATGTTTAAAATAAAATACATTATCTCCCAATCTCTTCTTGATTCACCCATTTCTGCAAATAATACCTTCTTCCAGTTACCAAAACCTGAATATATTCAAAGTTCAGAAAAGTGTAAAGATGGAGAAAAAAATCAGTTACAACAATCTCACAATTCCTTTTCTTTATAAAAGTGAAGGAATCCCATATACATAATTTTTATCCTTTTCTTTATAAAAGTGTAGGAATCTCATATACATAATTTTTATTCTTCTTTAATCCTAAACTTTCCACCATGTCATTAGAATTTCTACACAATTATAATTTTAATGATTATTTAATTTGCTAATGCTCTTACAACATACTGTGATATATTGTCAAATTCATTTCCAGAAAGTTTGCCAATTTCTACTCCCATTAGCATTTTAAGGGAGTTCTTAAATATCATAATTTAAGAGCTTACCCCCCCCCCCACTGCCTCCTAATCACAACTGAATATTATAAGGCTTTAGTATTTGCTATTTTTATAGTTGTAAAACAGAATCTCAGTGTTACTTTAATGTGCACTCTCATGTTTATTAGCCATTTAGTCATTGTAGGATTGCAGTTGTGTTATGCATTAGCCAGCAGAGATGACACAAACACATTGCTATAATATAATATCCTAGTCTGGTCAAAGGTGCAGAATGCACCAGAAAGAGATGGCTACTCAGAGCAGAAGTAGATGCAATGGATGCCCATGCAACTTTCGCATTAATCCTCCTGCCCTTGTCACTGGGCTATTATCTAGAAGACCATAATGTTTATCAATATTTAAACTATGTCATGAATTAAGCTTGCTTACAGGAACCCTTTTGCCGATCCAAAATGAAGAGTAAGACTGAGGAGCTGAGTGCAAAGACCAAGTTGGTGGTGGGGTGTCATGTGCAAAGAAGATGACTAAGCATCTTTCAGGTGCCATGGCCACACCCAAGACAGCGGCTCTACCCAGTTGGAAGAAGTGCACTGAGAGCATGAGCTCACCGTGTTCTTCATCAAGGAATAGAATTTCTGTTCTGCTTTACCCAACTCAGTCTCGTTCTATTGGCACCAACAGCACTGGGAAGGTGGACCTCGGTTTAGGTCCTGACCTTAAAGGGTGGTCCACACCTGAGGGGCTGATGATCACAGTTTTTTCCCAAAGGGGAGAAAGCAGAATTGTCACCTCACCAGTTTCTGCTAGACTCAGGATGACATCACCACTGCTGAAGAAGTGAACTAGCACCTTTCTACTGGGTCATAGAGAAATACCAAGATTTGAAATGTCACCAAGGTGGGGTTCGGTCTCCTTTATTCACTGGTGTATCCCAAGGACTGACAGGAGTGCCTGACACATGATGGGTGCTCAGTCACTGTTTGTTGGGTGAATAGGCCTGTAGAGTGTTGACGTAAGAAACGTCCAAACCTGTATAGAATCTTTATGAGTTTATTTAAACCAAACTGACAATTGCCAGGAAGCAAAATTTCAATGGATTGAGAAAAATGTTCCAGAAAATGGCAGTTCTGCACATTATTTGATACATTAGAATCAAAGGAGGAGGTGTTAGGGGGTTACATGAAATCCAATGGTGATAGATCGAGGAAGTGGGAGAAAGCAAAGTGGGGAAATCTCTGGGATTGGATAAAGAACACAATGGAGACACACATACTTCTTTTACACTGGTGGGCACGGGAGAGTTAGCAATAACATTTACAGCAGAGAGATGGTGCGCAGGGGCCAAGATAACAAGGAGGGTTCAGTGGTCTCTTGTTCTGAGACTGCACCCTGAAGGTCTGGAGGGGAAATTACCCTGACATTCCAAAGGTATATTATCTTAGATGCAAAAAGACAACCTTTGTCAAGGGACAAAGAGGCCTAGGATATGACTACCCTCCATGACCCGCTTTTTGTTAAGAAGTTTTGTGTTCAGACCATCCTATGTGGTCACTTCAGGTCTCTGAGTTTGCAGGGCTTGCCACGCAGGTCCCCCCGAGCTTGTCAGTTTAGTGTGTGGCCTCTTTTCCTCCACAATAGGATGAAGTTTGGCCTATTTCCTCTCTTGACCTTTCCTAATCAGTGTGTTAACAGCAGTTATATTTACACAATAAATCATGTTTTTTTTTAATCATGTTTTTTTAAAGAATGTTTTTGTTTGCTATTTTTACATTCCGTGTTATAAATATCATTGCAACAGTTATGTACACACAACTCTGATTTATTGAATTCAGTGGTCATCATTAGATATTTTTTCTTTAAGTGTTGCTTGCACTTTTGTTTTTAATCCTGTGGTATAATATTTCAGGTAGTCATTCCAGAGTGTTTTTAGGAATTCAGCAGGACTTGTATATGGTTGGGTCTCTAGATCTGCTGCCTCCACACGGTGACCCAGGTGTGCTGGGTGTGGCATTTTCAAACAAAATTTTCCCATCAGACTCCAGGATGCCTAGTTTGGAAAGATGGGAACTTCCAATGTAGTTTACACTTACTTTTATCAAAACTTTAACTTTTGATATTTGTTTGATTCAAAACATTTGTGTCAATTATTTTCCTAATAAATTAAATATTATGGGTGTTATTGAATACTCCTATTCTACTCTCCCTTTTCTCACCAGAGATAATCCTGAATTTGTTGTTTCTTATTATTGTAAGTTTACTTTTTAAACTTTACAACTGTTAAGTCCTGGACATAAATCCCAGACATGATTTCATTCACCTTCGGATTCACATTAAAACAAAACCTCAGGCTCTCCCGTTTGGCCCTCTGATGTCTACCTGGTCTGAGAAGTCAGGAGGCCTGGCCTACGATGCCTGCGTTTCCATGCCAGGCGGCCGTGGGACCCAGAGCTGGTGAGTCCCCCAGCGACTGCAGGCCAGGCTCCTGCACTTATACTTCCTATCAGAGTTCTGCAGCCCTTTGTGCTTGTCACTCCTGTTCTCTGAACTTTAAAACAGTTTCCTCTTTATTTCTGCTTCATTTTTATCTTACTGTAGTGTGTATTTCTACTTTTCAACAAAAGAATCATTTTCAGATGATGGGAGCAAAATTTTCATTTCCCTTCACATTGTCACCAGTGACCAGTGACCCAACTTCTCAAGCAGGGGCCTGTTTTCCCACATTTTTCCTGAACTAAATGCAGTGAGTAATGTCCCTTTGCTTTCCCCTCCCCCATCTTTTTTTTATGGGACTGTTATTATATGGAGTTAGAAGAAGTCCATGCTTTCCTCCTTATCTCCTAAAAGCTTCCTTTCAGTTTATTAAACTAAACCTTCAGGGATTATAATCCCAAATAACATATAGTTGGTTGGTCTGGCATATATTTTATCCCACCTCTGTCACCAAAAGAAATGCTGAAGCCAGGGATGGGTAATGAAAACAGGGAAAGACCCACGGTGTCCAACTTCAAGGCCCGATGGGAGAAAGTGAACTTCAATAATAGAGAGTAATTCTACCCATTTTAACTCTTCATCCCATTGTGAGAATAGTTAATGAATGTCTGGGAAAGTATGAGTCTCTGAATTTATGATAATGCTAGATTATATGTTATATCGTTTATTACTACCGCAAGGACAGACAAATAGCATGTTGGGAAAGGACCCACACGTGCTTCCTAAGAGCACCTGCGACACACTTCCTTCCTGGAACACTGGGCTATTTGGCAGCAAAGAGATCACTCAGCTGGTTTTCTCTTCTAGAGACTCCCGCATGTTCATTCCAGCTTCGGGACCCGCTCGGAGCATCGCAAGTCCTCCAGGCGTCACTCTGGGTTTCACACCTTCCTGGGGGGAGAACTGGAACCCAGGCCCGAATTCTAGTGTGCAAGTTTCTGATTGATGTTTTCACTCTTTCCATTTTGGGTAATACCGTTTGTTGGATGAATTGTATAATTTTTATTATTGGTATTTGAAAGACATAGAGAAAGATGATAAATTAGCTTAAGGAAGATAAGAGGAAGCACCTGACTTAGCTCAGTGTCTCTGTAAACAGGAGCCTTCCTCCCATGTGACCTGGTGACATCACATCTCCTCTCTGCTCTGTCCTGAGAAACTTGCATGTTGAGTGGTGAAGTTCGAGTTGGGCATAACTACCTATGTGAATGTGGTTTTCTTTCTTATCCTGAATAACTTTCTTAACATTTCTATATTTGGATAAGAAAGCATGCCTTGGAGAAACGGAGAGCAGAGTGTGACTCCAGGCAGGACTGAGGCCTGCCCCATCGGCATCCTCTCCCAGGCACATCTACCTGCTCCCCAAGTTCCCACACGAAGAGCACGGGCATGTGGGGCACACGGCTTGAGTGTCAGTAAACCATGCTGCTCTCATTATGGCACTGACTTCGTGGCATTCCAGTGACTTACGAACCCAAACTGAATATTACACCTTAGAGCTCCCCAAAGGAAAGCCACACACCACTTTTGTTTGAAAAGAAACGGAATTTATTAAGAAATTATGTGCTGAACTCTCCCAGGCTGTGAGGTTGGGCTCTTCCATTTCCACAGCACAAGGCGGCAGCTCACTCCGGAGAACACTGGCGATGCTCGGGGGGGGGGGGGGGGGGGGGGGAGCAGGGAGGCTCCTGGTCGCAGGAGATGGACGGTGCTGGCACTCAGGTACACGCGTGGGTCCAAGACGAGACCATCCCTCCGCATTCTCACCTGCACTCACACTGACACCTGCCCCGGGCTCTCCTGCCCCTGACTGCGGGTTGGGTGAGAGCAGGGTCATCCCATCCAGGAGAGCAGAGGGACGCTGAACTCAACCACAGGTCACGCCGACACCTTTAGCTCTTGCCTCACATCTGAAATAGTTGCATTCCTTATGAGTAAAAATGGTGCGCATATAGGGCAGAAATATAACCTTTTCAAGTATTTTATCCTTATGATCTGAAGTACTTTAAACTATAAATTAAAAATAAATTACAAAAACTAGCATATGATGTATCTTTTCTTACATAACATTGTTGGGAATAAGCTTTAAACATAGAATTGCAATATCACCCGACTTTATATATGACCAATGGTGAAACATGCTAATCATAAAAATAGCTTTTACAAATATACATTTGTATATAGTGTCTCCCTCACCATTCATAATATCCTTCACATTTTAAGATTTTTAAGACAAACAACAACAACAACAACCCAAACATAATTAGCAAAGGGAAACACACATTTACAATCTAAACCATAAAAATCTGACAATTATACAGCTCAGAACATAGAAGAAATGGAATTTCTAAGACTGAACAATACTGTCCATTTTATTTATTTGGGTTTTTATGTAAATTGAACCAAAGATGTTGCTCTCCAGTCAGGAATCTCCTCTGACATCTCTGGGGTTGTCAGAACGCCTCTTTTCTGCTTCGTGGCTTCATTCATTCATTCAGATCACTTTATCTGTAGAAACTGAGACAAGAAAAAGAGCATTTTAACATACAGCGATCGTGGCCCGTTGCTGGTAGCTCGCGCATGTGTGAGTTAGATGCTAAGGCTCCAAGAGGGGAGGCTAAAAGAGCCCTCGGTCTTCGGGACGCCAGGTCTCCAGGTGCTCTGTGAAGGCAGCCCCGAGGCCGTTCGCATTTAGAGCGCGCTGTGCTTTTTTAAAGTCCAGCGAATTTCATGCCTGAGATGGCAATTGCTTTCCAGCATGAGCTCTTGTCTAGGGAAGCAATGGGGATGCTCAGGACCTCTGCTGTCCGACAGGACGGGCCTCAGCACTTCCCCTGCGAGAGGCTGTGAGCAGCGCTCCCGGATCCGTGTCCGGGGTGAAGAGCCAGCTCGGGTCCTGATCTGCGTCACGGTCCTGGTGGTAGACGGCCATTTAGCTATGCTGACTCTTTCAGTCCACAAACACAGACCATCTTTCCATTTCTTTGTGTCTCCTTCCATTTCTTTAAATGATGTTGTGTAGTTTTCATATATCGGGCCTTCGCATCCCTTGTTCAGTTTATTCCTAGGTATTTTATTCTTTCTGTAGGAATTGCAAAAGGAATTGTTCGCTTCTTTTCTATTTCTGAAATTTCATTGTTAGCATATAGAAACACAGTGGCTGTTTGTGCTTTGATTTTGTATCCTAAAACTTTACTTGTATTTGTTTATTGTTTCTACTATTTTTTTTTTTTTGGTGGAGTCTTTAGGTTTTCTATAAAAAGAATCATTTTGTCTGCAAAAAGGGACAATTTTACCTTTTTTCCAATTTGGATGCCTTTTATTTCTTTCTCTTGACTGATTGCTCTGGCTAGAACTTCCAGAACTACATATATTGAATAAAAGTGATGAGAATCGGCATCCTTGTCTTATTTCTGATCTTAGAGGAAAAGCTCTCAGTTTTTCACCATTGATATGATATTGGCTGAGGGTTTGTGATATCTGGCCTTTATGTTGTGGTACTTTCCTCCTATACCCATTTCATTGAATGTTAAAAACACAAAGTGGGAGGTATCAGATTCCCTGACTACAAAGTGACCATCACCAAAGCAGCATGATATTGACATAAAAAAAAGACACACAGACCAATGGAATAGCACTGAGAGCCCAGAAGTAAATACACATGTAAATGGGCAAATAATTTTTGACAAAGAAGCAAAAAACATACAATGGAGAAAAGAAAACCTCTTCAATAAATGGTGCAGGGAAAATTGGAAAGCCACATGCAAAACAAGGAAATTAGATTGTGATTTGTCACCTTTTAAAAAAATTAACTCAAAATGGATCAAAGACCTAGATATAAGACCTAGAACAAAACCTGCCATATCAAGATGATGCTCTAACCAACTGCCTGGCCAAGGCTCTACTTTTAGACTAAAAGAATCACATCAGCAAAGCTGTAATAGAATCAAAACTCCATGCCTAGTGACTCCCTGGGATGGTGACAAATGAAGGCTACCACTTCACTGTGTAGTTCTTGGTGGCTTAAGAGTCTTCATTCCTGAGTTGATGGCCATTAGAGTATGGGGGGCAGGGGACAGAAAACTAGGAGAAAACAAAAGTGTAATAACCTGCCAGATGCTTGGAAAGACCATCAGGTCATCTTCTGAGAATTTAACTCTAAAATGAAGACTTAAATGATTAGGGCAGAGATTAACCATGGCACTAAGAAAGGCCGAAGATTTCTGGGTCTTTGAGATCTGACTAGAACATAATGGAAATTTATTAAATCAGCCAATGGGAAAAAAGTGTCCATCTGAAAGAAACACGTTTGGCACTCAAAGGGCAGGAAAACAGGAGTCTCTGGAGGGCAACTCAGTGAACAGGTGGCCTAGGACCATGGAGAGACCTTGTCTAACCTCCCAACCAAAAAGCAGCACCATTGCCCTGGTTGGGTAGTTCTCCCTGACATGTCAAGGCTGTGGGCTCAATCCCCAGTTAGGGCACATACAAGAATCAACCAATGAGTATATAGCTAAGTGGAACAAAAAATTAATGCCTCTCTCTCTCTCTTCCCCACCCTTTCCCTCTCTCTCTGAAATCAATAAGAAGAAGAAGAAGAAGAAGAAGAAGAAGAAGAAGAAGAAGAAGAAGAAGAAGGAGAAGAGGAAGGAGAAGAGGGAGAAGAAGAGGCATCTTCCTCCATGATCAGCTAACAGCTGTGCAGGTCTGGCTTCATTCTCTCAAGGAACACAGAACTCAACCTCACAAGACTCCATCTTATATAATAAAAAGGTAATATGCAAATTGACGCTAACAGCAGAACGACTGGGAATGACTGGTCACTGTGACACACACCAACCACCAGGGGACAGACGCTCAATGCAGGATATGCCCCCTGGTGGTCAGTGTGCTCCCACAGTGGGAGCTCTGTTCAGTCATAAGCCAGGCTGCCAGCTGCTAGCACAGTGGTGGTGGAGGGAGAATCTCCCACCTCCTCAGCAGCGCTAAGGATGTCTGACTGCAGCTTAGGCCTGATCCCTGCTGGCAAGTGGACATCCCCTGAGGACTCCCGGGCTGCCAGAGGGATGTCTGACTGCCAGCTTAGGCCTATTCCCCCGGGGAGCGGGCCTAAGCCAACAGGTGGACATCCCCCAAGGGGTCCCAGACTGTGAGAGGGCACAGGCTGAGCTGAGAGACCACCCCCACCCCCCAGTGCACAAATTTTTGTGCACTGGGCCTCTAGTTTTTATATGGTTGGAAAAGAATCTGTTACCTCGAGTCAAACACTGCTAAATGGCTAAAGTAAATAAATTGAGCCAAAACCTAGAGAGTGAGGCAACAAGCCAGGCAGCCTGGAAGAATTGGGGAGGAATGGAAGTGTCGGGAGTATCTTGTCTGTTGGACATGGATTCAGGTCAGAGTTCCTAAGGTGGCAAGAGAGAGAAAGGCAGACCTCAAATCCAGGGGAGGTGGACTGCTGTTAGAACACTGAAGCAGGACTCTGAAGGATAAGACTTCCTTGTGTTGATTTATTTGTATTTCTTTTTGGGCCCCAATGTTCCCAGGAATAAAGCAGGACCTGGTTATTAGAACAAACCTAAGTTATTGTAGTAAGCTCATGGCAAGAGAAACAGCAAGAATGTCTTAGAGACCGAGGCATCTGGATTGCTGAACTGAGGTTCCTGAACGTGCCTGTAACTTGGGAGTAGGTTTGGGTTATTCTTAGAATCTGGGCTAAGACTGTGAGCATGGGCCACAATCCTCACAGTAATGCATTCATCAGCATAGTGTGTGGAAATTTAGAAAATACTTGACATGTATATGCTCATTGTTCTTTATTATAAACACATGAAGCAGGTGGTTGGGCAAGAGTCATCCTCATATTATTCATCAATTCTTGGATCAGAGAGTGTCATGACTGAACCCAACCCCAGCTGCTCTATGTAAGACCCATGGTTTCCCTACTGTTCCTCTCTTCCCAGTTGGGAAAGAGGACAGTAGGGAGGCAGACTGGGCCTAACAGTAACTAGCACAGGTGAGCTCACCTGGAGTGTGCAGGTACACAGGTGTTTGGTGATGCACAGGAGGAAAGGCGTAGAATTACTGAGGATGTGTGACTACTTGCACAGGACCCACCAACTACCTTCCCTGGATTTGAAACAGAGCTGCCTGGATTTTGTAAAGTTCTATCTTGAGCTAATTCAAACCATGTTAATTAAAAACTTATTGAAAACATCCATCAAAAAGGACCTTTTATGTTGTAAAAATGCATTTGATTAAGAAACAAAATTAACTTTAGAGTAAAATTATCTAAAGTGGGTTACATAATTTTATTTAAAACTAGAGGCCTGGTGCACAAAATTCTTGCACTGGGGGGTGGGGGGCTCCCTCAGCCAGGCCTACACCCTCTCACAGTCTGGGACCCCTTGGGGGATGTCCGCCTGGTGGCTTAGGCCTGATTCCCCGGGGGGGGGGGGGAGTGGGGGCGGGCAAGGAATCAGGCCTAAGCTGGCAGTCAGATAGACCTCTCATAGTCCGGGGCTCTCACAGTCTGGGACCCCTCGTTCCTTACCACCTGCCTCCAGCAGAGGTGGGAAAGGCTCCCAGCCATGAGCCTGGCTTCTGGCTGAGTGGCATTCCCCCTGTGGGAGCACACTGACCACCAGGGGGCAGCGCCTGCATTGAGCATCTGCCCCCTGGTAATCAGTGCACATCATAACAACTGGTCATTCCATTGTTTGGTCGATTTGCATATTAGGGTTTTATTATATAAGATATCTGTATAAAAATTTAAGTCATTTAATACTGAGAAAAATTACTCATATTAGTCAATTATGTAATTACCAGAATTTGGATGTTCTGTTGCACATATATTAACATTCCTTTAATTTTTCCCCCAAAATTGTTCCCTGATACTTTCTGAAAATAACTGTGACTGTGTTCAAGCGTTTTGGGCTCCCTGAAAATCATATCTGACTTGTTGAACTGATAAGTTATAGTAACTTTACTTGGTGCATAACTTGTGTTTTATTGGGCATAGATTTCTGCTTTGTCATGCTAATTACACAGGGTGGGGCAAATGTAGATTTACAATTGTAAGTACTCAAAACAGTTTATTCTAGTATTATCACTTATTAATCATTGTGTTATTTTCCATATGAATATCTGTGAGTCTACTTTTGCCCACCCTGTATAATATCTAGCAACCTTTAGTTACTCCCAATGCTGGAAAAGATAATGATAATTTTCAGGTAGTACTCCAAATTGCTTAAGTTAATTCCAGGTCTAGAGGCCAAATGATGATTAATGCTAAGATTATTATGAAATTGAAAATTTCACAGATTTTACTTCTTCCTACAGTTTTTTAGAAAATTAGTTTTGGAACCAAAAGTAGAACTATTTTAAAAATAATTTCCTATCTAACAGTAAAATGTGATTTAGAATTGATTGATTCAGAGGTTTAATTTAAAAAGCACTTGGAAATTGTACAGTTAACTCCTGGTCAGTCAGAATAGCTTGGGAAAGGTGATCATGGC